ACTGTTATTTTTCATGACGTACTCTAAAGGCAAGATACCACTCTTACGATATCTTCCGATAGGTGTCATTCACTATCATAAGCCTTTTCGTTTCCTCCGTTTACTCAATTTGCTACGAGCCTTCACCATGGCGTTACATTCACGGAAGTATGCGTCCAGCGCATCAAGACGAGAATATAGATAGGAAAGATTTAGAAGTGTAATACTCCTTATTACTCCGAAAAGTTACATGCCAGTTCTAATACCGTAATTAAACGTTTAGAAATCTGAACACATAAAATTTCCAGATCCGGTCGGCAACAGACCACAGATCCGATCATACGATAGCATCATAAAGCATCATAAATCATTTAGCACATAAAAGCATGTTAGGCATTTTCCCTAAATTAGCTAGTGCTTGTGTCTATTCTGGTGTATTGCCTAAATTTTATTAGAAACACTCCTCACGATCATTGTTTAGCATTCTAAGTTTAAGTCTAGAAATAAATCCATATTCCTAGTTCGCTTAAACTAATGCTCTGATACCAACTGTGACATCCCCATTTTCACAGCCAGAAAAGACCGATTTTTGTTTATGCTTTATAAAAATCAGAGTACCTCTTTTAATAAAAAATGTTGCGGAATTTCTTCCCAGAAAAACATGATAAATACGTTATCAAAGCATTTCCGAAGAAATGTATTTTTATTCATTTTCAAAACATTTGGGATGCCATCGTCAATACAGAAACATAAGCATAAACAAAACTTACATTCATTTACACTAGTGATCTACATCTCTTTTAAATCTCTCAGTGTAAAGTAGCTTCATATCGACATATGTGATAGAAATCAGCTGGAGTGGGTCAGGTTGGGAAACCTGGTGAGTACATAGGGTTTTCAACCCATAATAATATAATTATTATGTTTAAACATCAAATAATCAACCCAATTAGCCATCCCCATTATCTTCTTTACTCTTAAGGATCTACCCTAAGAATCAACTATTCATCGTTCATTCATTCCTAAGGATCATCCTAAGGAATCGGCACGAAGTCCATCGTCACCGGGGTTTAGGCACTAAGTCTGCATAGTCGCCAGGATTTATACAACAGGCACTAAGTCCGCATAGTCGCCACGGTTTAGGCACTAAGTCTGCATAGTCGCCAGGGTTTATACAACATGCACTAAGTCCGCATAGTCGTCAGGGTTTTGGCACCAAGTCTGCATGATCGCCAAGGTTTAGGAACCAAGTCTACATGATCGCCAGGGTTTAGAGTACACCGGGTGAACACATTGTTCACAACACCTACGTGGTCTATAACACCTCTCAACTCATCATCCATACTCTGCTAGATGACGGGGCCATCATTTGGGAAAGGCTTCTCACATCGTCTACCTCTCACGCTCACCTCGTGGTCTATAACACCTCTCAACTCATCATCCAACTCATATTCCATCTATTACATCTACCCATGTTTTACCCAACATATTATCGTAGAGATATATATATATATATATAATATATATATATATATATATATATATATATATATATATATATATATATACAGTTTAAATCATTTAAAACATGTATAAAATCGTTCATCCAGCATAGACAGCAAGTACTCAGATAATATGCACACATAGCACGTAGTTTATATAAAATACTTCATATCTATGTGTAAGATGAAAGTAACTATGCACTCACTTGATAAGGTGGTGACTCGGTACTCGGACAACGCTTCGTTTACTTTAAAATAATTTCCTTCGACGAAACCTAGTATTATTACCACTAGATTTTAGTCTAATATTTACCGTGACTAATTATTAGTCTTATTATTATTATCATTATATAAGCGTTTAAACAATACTTTCCAACCACTATGTACAGACAGGGGCAGACATAAAACACCGGAGGGCATGACCATTTTGGCATATAGCACTTCTGAAATCCAACAACCCTATGCGGCCCTTTAAACCAGATTCCCCGTACCGCGAGTAGTTAAAAAGATATTATAACGACACTTATATAAGTCATAATAATAGCTCAAATATTTATTATAAGTTCATAATAACAATACTAATTTTAAATAATTAAAATAGGTAAGCATAACTTACTTACAAGGGGATTTTAGCTAGGAGTCGGGCTCTGCAGGGGCAGAACTTCGTCGCTGAATCTTTCTAAGAAAGATTCGTGCAGCGCTTCAGCGCTCACCTTAATATACTAAAACTACAAAATGAGATGTCGAATCACGAGGGACCGAAATGCCCGGGGGATAAGAAAAGAAAGACTCTTGAATCAAGAGAATGGTGCAAGAAATATGAGAGCCGAAGCCTCTTATTTATAGTAATTGAATTTACAAAAACTACCCTCCATAATTACTTAATGACCTTATAGTTATATAAACGACTAAACACCCCTTCATTATACTATTTTAAATAGATTTAACGATATTTGTACTAACTAATGTCGAAAGTACTCAACACTAGTCTTATAATAACCGCATCGTCGATACCTTTCTAATGATATATACATTTGTATATATATGTGTACGTATATATGATTTATACTTTATTTTAATGCGTAAATATGCTATTATAATTTGTAACTCGTTCATACGAACTCCATTTTTGACGTTCTTTATATGAACGCGTTGTTATTTACGAGTACTACAACTTTCTTTTAGACGCCGTCAGCTAATTCTCATTCTATCTCAGATTTACAAAACTGTATCGAATTTATCGCGCTCAAAGAGTAGGGACCAAGTTTCGTCCATATCTTTAACATACGAGCTCTACTCTCGACATTCTTTATATCCACGCGTAGGTAAAAACAAGATCTAAAACTTTCATTTAGACTCCGTCGGCTAATTCTCGACCGCTCTTAAATTTAATAGTAGGAAGAGATTATACTGTTAAATGACTGTGTAAAATTCATAACTTCTACATACGGACTCCGTTTTCGTTTGTCTTTTTACCGTTGAGTTCCTATTAATGAGATCTTCAACTCTCATTTAGGTCGCGTAGGCCAATAACCGCTCAAACTAAAATTCGAGTTTCGGGCCGTGCACTGCTATGGCAAATCTTAGAAAATTCATAACTTCTTCATACGAAGTCAGATTTGTGCGTTCTTTTTTTGTATGTTCTCGATTTAACGTATACTACAAATTTTGTTTAGATCACTAAGGCTAAAAAGTCTTCTACCGTAACTTCACTATTTACGTCTCCTGGTGCCGTGCCGGTTTTGCCGTAAAACTTCGACGTGCCATAACTTCTTTGTTATAACTCGGATTTCGGCGTTCTTTATATGTATGGAACCCTTGTAACATATACTAAAACTTGGTTAAGATTAATCCTTCTAAATAATCTTCCACAAAAACTCATTTTTGATGCTCATCGTCTCTAAATTGACTAGCCCGGATCTGCGGGCGTTACACTTTTGTATGTTCAAACAAAAGGAAAAAAAATGATTTTTCTTGTTGGATCCGATTATAACAAAACATGCTTCAACATTTGGTTTGTCGCATTTTTCTCATTAAAATATAAAGTTTTATATAAAAATGTTTCATTATTTTTGGATAATTTTTGATAAAGTACTAAATATATTTTGGAAAAATCACATAATCTGTCATTTTACTGTTAAAATAAAAAATAAAAAATAAAACTTTTTCATTAATTTGGGAAAATGGTTTTCAAAAAAATAAAGTTTCCTAATAATGAGAATTTTCTACATTAAACCCATAAATATATACCGAACATCCCAGACTTCAAGATTTGCATTGTCATGAAAGTATAAAACAAAATAAAACCATAAAACAATAAAACAAAACACAAATATAAAAAACAAAATAAATACATCTTTAATTTTGTCAAGGTTCACGATTGTATTTGCAGGGACATTTAAAACATATTTTTGGCCCGGGGCTAAAGTAAAAAATGAGTCCTTCAAAAAATATATATGAATTAGACTTGAATAGAATATTGTAAAATTTTTAAATAATATTGCAAAATTTTTAAATAATATTAATATCATTATTAATTTATTACTAGATTTGTTTTAAATGTTTAAAAAGAATATACAATCTTAAATGGGATTTATTGAGTGTTCATGAATTAGATGATGTACTTCACAAGCTACACAGGTCAAACGCGGATCCATCGAAAACTAAACAAAGTGTGTAAATCAATTGGGCTATCACCTATTTTAGATTGAAAAAGAGAATATTAAATATAAAAACCTTTCAAACATAAATTAAAAAGTAGACCATAACATTTTGATTGAAGTTTTTTATGTAGGCACACCATTAGCAACAAAAACTATAGTACCGGTTACTTTTAAAACAAATATTTCTTATATAATATATACTAAATTTGAGCCATGGGTCCTCGCCCAGGCTCCCCCCTCCCCCCAAGGCCGGGCCGATTTGCTCCCCCCTCCCCCCAAGGTCGGGTCTGGCAATCGGCGTGAGCAACACGCATGTTAAACCCCTAGGTTACCTAGTGTATATTCCTACTTTTAGACACAAATAATTAAATGGAACAATTGATGTCATTTTGTAGGGGTGTCAATTTATGACACGACACGACACGACAAAAATACACGAAACGAAACGAAATTGGGACGAAACTGAAATTTGAATTCGTGTTCGTGTTAACAGTAAAAAGCACGGCGTCGTGTCGTGTCGTGTTCGTGTTCAAACTTCGATACGAAATTGACACGATTTAGTAGTTTTTATCGTTTTGTAATTCGTTCGTTTTCGTGTTAGTTAGAAAAAAACACGACATCGTGTCGTGTCATGCCAGACAGAAACACGAAACGATAGCACGATTTGTCACCCCTATCATTTTGTCACAATATCAGCTGTTACTATTAGATATATTTGTCACACATGTTATATAAGGCAGTGACAAAATGTCTGAACATAGTTTGCAGTGATGATGATTTTTAGCTAATATATAACTAAAACATTACTAGAACTTGATTATTGACGCAATTAGCCAAAATCGTGAAAACTCCGTTTTCAAAAACCGTCACCATAGGTCGTTTTTGTACTAGTGTCTATAACATTTTGTGCAGTTGCATCAACGGTTTCCTTAGCTTCTTTCACTTTTTGGTCAGCCAAGTCGGTGGCTTCTTTCGCTTTCTGAGCAACGGACTCCTTCTGCTCCTCTGCCAAGTCTGCAGCTTCTTTTGCTTTCTGGTTAACCAAGTCAGCGACTTCTTTTGCTTTCTGGTTAGCCAAGTCAGCGGCTTCTTTGGCTTTGTGAGCAACAGAATCCTTATACTCCTCCGCCAAGTCAATGGATTCTTTCGCTTTCCGAGCGACAAAATTGTTGTGCTCCTCTGCCAAGTCGCCAACTTCTTTTACTTTCTGGTTAACCAAGTCAACAACTTCTTTTGCTTTCTGGTTAGCCATGTCAGCAGCTTCTTTCGCTTTCTGAGCAACGGAATCCTTGTACTCCTCCGCCAAGTTAGTGGCTTCTTTCGCTTTCTGAGTGACGGAATCCTTGTGCTCCTCCGACAAATCAGTGGCTTCTTTTGCTTTCTGTTTAACCAAGTCAACAACTTTTTTTGCTTTCTGGTTAGCCAAGTCGGCTGCTACCTTCGCTTTATGAGCGACGGAATCCTTGTACTCCTCCGCCAAATCAGTAGCTTCTTTCCCTTTCTGAGCGACGCAATCCTTGTGCTCCTCCGCCAAGTCAGTGACATCTTTATTTTTCTGAGTGACAGAATCCTTGTGCTCCTCCGCCAACGCAGCGGCTTCTTTTGCTTTTTGGTTAACTAAGTCAGCGACTTTTATCGCTTTCTGGTTAGCCATGTCAGCTGCTACTTTCACTTTCTGAGCGACAGAATCCTTGCACTCCTCCGCCAAGTCAGCATCACTCTCTTCTTTTTCTTTTTGAGCGACGAGATCCTTGTACTCCTCCGCCTTTGGTGTTGTTTCTTCTATGTTTTGTTTTTCTCTATCTGCAACATCGTCGGAGACCATTGACGCCTTCTCATTGGCTTCGTGAGTTTTTCCGGTTAAAGTGTCGGTAACCGTTTTAATTATGTTTGCAATGACACCGGGGTCAGATCGTGTCTCATTATTCTGGTCAGATTCTGTTACATCATGAGGTGAAGCCATTTGATGTCAGGATCAATGTAATGCACTCTAAACTTCGATTGAATATCAAAAATAAGAAACTCGACTGGAAGATAGAATTTGTGAGTTGTGAGTGGAAGATAAGGAAATATATATATAGGTTGCATGGTAATTAATATATGAAAATTCTTGATTTCTCTAAAGGTCATATACGTCGTCCGCAGTGGACAACTTAAGTTTCATGTTTTAAGAACAAATTAAAGAACACAATATATATTTTACATGTGGAAACCGTCTAAGTCGTCGACAACATCAATAACGAATCATACTTCTTACTTTCATGAGAGAAGATTTTATTTGGGATCCGCCTATTTTTATATTAATATTTAAATAATTATCGTGATATAAACATTAATTCAAGAAAAAACAATGGATATTTTACATGCAAAATATATCCATGTCGTCGACAATGATAAAGCTTCCAATTCCATACTGCATATTTCCATCAAATGATATAAATTTTCATTTGGTCCCACGTTATTTTATACTAACTAGGAAAAGGCCCGTGCGTTGCACGGGTGAAAGTTTAGTGGCAAAAATATAAAAAATAAAAATAAAGTGTCAAAATTATAAAGAGGAAAAGTTTGTTGAAACTTTAGTGGCAAGATTAGTAAAAATAAAGTATCAAAACTATAAAGAGGAAAAGTTTGTTGAAACCTTAGTGATAAAATTATAAAAAAGTAAAAATAAAGTGGTAAAATTATAAAACAATAAAGAAAAAGGGTTTTAAAGAAGTAAAAAGTGAAAGTTTAGTGGCAAAATATGAAGAACTAAAAATAAAGTGACAAAATTATAAAAAAAAAGTTTGTTGAAACTTTAATGGCAAAATTAAGAAAAAGTAAAAATATAGTGTTAAAATTATAAACATACAAATGTTACTGTAGAAATGCGCCATGCGCTTTAATATATATATATATATATATATATATATATATATATATATATATATATATATATAAGGAAAATCTTCTAAAATGGTCACCGTGGTTTCCAAAAAAATCGAGTTCAGTCATTAACTTTTTTTGTCTTCAAATATAGAAATTAAAACCACACGGATCATCTTTGAACACAAAAAAAAAAAAAAAAATTCAACACCGAACTTGATATTTTTGGAAACCATATGGATTATTTTTTTAATATGTCTATAATTAAACTAGTAATGTGTAAAGGCCTTCCTCACAAAGGGAATTTTGGTCATTTTTAAAAATCAAGCAATCAAGTTGTCAATGGCTACATAAAACAGTCATTCGTTTATAAGACATTGTACTTAATGCTCCGACAATGACCATTTGTAAATATTTACTTGCCAGTTGGTCGCTGAACAACGTCATACGTGCGATCTTTGAAAATCTTGAACTTGGTTAAGTTTCTGCAAACCTCATGTCAAAGAATTTATAATCTTTTGAGTAAATTCCATTTTGGTCCCGATATATAAAAGATATTTGCAATTGTGTTCCCATGAAGATCTCTTGCAATTTCAGTCATTATATTAGGTTTTTATAACGTTTTAAGTACATGTGTCCAAGTAAAATGACTATTTTTGGTGCCTGAGTATAGTTGATATTTTCATTTTTGGTCATAAAAATAATATTTTTAACAAGGCCAAAAACGCTACAACAAATATCAAATAAGGACAAAAATCGCAAGCGAAAAATTTTTGGGTCCAAAATTGCAAAAATCATACATACACACTGACGAAAAAAATTTACTCTTTAAAATTTATTATCAATTTCTAAGCTTTTCCATTCCTTTTGTATGGTTTTTTTTGGCTCTCACATTGTGTTTTTTTATATCCAAGTGTTATCAAGGTAAGTGATGTTTTAAAAAACATTTGAGAAAATGACAACAAGTTTGAAGAGATATAGGGAACAATAAATAAGGCCAAATCTGTAAATATGCGGGAGATGGAAAGACTTACCCCGGATCAAGATGCCTAGTTGTACCAAGAGAATTTGTGAATATGTAAATACTTTGATCATTAGGAAAACAAAAGCTGCTATTTTTAGCATCCAACTTTTGTCCAAGACAATTTATAGAGGTAAATAGTGTAAAATAGCAACATGCATCTTATATAAAGCACCCAATAGGATTGCACCAATACTCCACACAAAATATTACTCTATAAGGCTATTTGGTATACCCTCAACGAAGGGCTTCATGGTCCACTTGGAACCCAACAACTAACATAAACACCACCCCGATGGTAAGTGGTTCTTAGTGGTAGCGGTCATTTGTGGTGGGGAGGACGATGGACAACGTCCAGTTAATTTGTTTCTATCTCTAACTTACTCGACATTTTAAATAATTAAAAAATATATTTATTTCTATTTAAATAATCAAAAAATAGAAGTATAGTGATCGTAGGTATACTAAACTTTAATGGTTGTGTGTTGTGATGAGGTGACAATGATGTGGCATCCACTACATTTGTGGCTAGTGGTGGGTACACCTGATAGCCTATAACAACAGAGTGGTGGCTTATGTTTGACACTCTTTTTTATACCAAAATTGGTTGCATTATCTGCTTAACAACTTGAGTTCTAATAATCCAATTTGGCATTGCAATTATGACCCACAAGAATATAAGATTGATTTTCAAGAGGCCAATCACAATCATTTTCATTAGGAGGATTTTTTTTTCATATAAAGGAGGTATTTATTCCAATTTAGGTGATTCATTTTATATGATATGAGTTTAAACAATTTAATTGTTTCAATTAAATTAATTTATCTTTAAATGAAGATGAAATGAATTGGTTATTTCAATAAAAAAATTATTTGTAGAGTTTATATATAAATTGATTGAATCATACCATTAGTTGTTCATAAAGCTTCCTTTATACTTATCTTATTTCATCATTGTGTTCTTGGATCTTTGCAAGTATTTCAAATACTTACACTAACACAAAAAAAGTACAAATAAGCACATCTGTTAATTGTCTCGTTGCAAAATTTAATCCATGCACTAGAGTACAGTGTCCCCCTCTCTTAAACATATCGTGAAGAGTTGATTGAGTCACCATCTTCATGCAGCTGGAAATGTTGAAAGGAATAAAGGAGTTTGTTGGGTCAAAAATATGGTTTATACTTTACTTTTCTAGGAAAATGTATTTTTATGTCTAGGACCGTAAACAGTTTGGTGTTTACGGCTGTATATGTGTTTACGGTTGTGTTTACGGCCGTGAACAGGTTTACGGCCGTAAACCCATTCACGTCCCATGACAACTATATATTGTATTAGTGGTGAGGAGTGCATGTGTGTGAGAGTATATGGTAGAGAGAGAAAGTTAGAGAGAATAGAGGAGCTTAAGTGTGTGTAAGTTGTGTGTGAATCTTGTATTTGGATCTTCATTCTAATCAAATCATACAAGATTCATCATTTTCTTCTTCTCCTTCTTCTTCATTAGATATGGCATCATCCGTTTGATTGGGATTCCGCACCATCAAACGGATATGATTAATACACAAGCAGATTTGGGACTTACAAGTGGTATCAGAGCTTGGATTGTATCAATCATTTTTGTCAGATTTTGTGACAACCCGGAAAATTTTTTGGTTTTAGACCCATTTTGCTATCTTTTGGCATTGTTTGGAGTCTATTTGGGTGTTCTAAGCATTGTACATTCAAGGATCGAGTGTTAGGATGTGTTTGCTTGAGTTATAAGTATAAAAATCAAGCTATAAACCCTTCATGTGGAGTTTTCGGCCACCACATATGAGTTTTCGGTCAAAACTCATGTGGACCGAAAACTCATCCCATAAGCGTAAGTATTCCTCATTTCCTTCACTTTTCTTCATTCTTTCACTTTCACCTCAAGAACACATGAGTTTTCTCTCAAGTATCATCCCGATCTTCATACTTGATCTTCAAAAATCGTAAGTGTTCTTTCTCTAGTTAGTTGTTAATCCTTCTTAACTAGCTTCATCCTCATGATTCATCCATGGAAATCATGTTTTCATAGATCTTCAAGTTTCACCAAGAACACCAAGAACACACACTAGTGTTCTTGGCCAATATCAACCATTTCAAGCTTCTAGATCGTAAGTACTCTTCCCTATACTTGTTATCTAGTTGAAACTCTTGATTAGGGCCTTGAAATCACCATTTATCCAAGAACAAAAGGTGTTTTCGGTCTAGTGCATCTCCTTAGACCGAAAACCCTTATGAATGGTGCAAAATGACTTTAAGCCTTTCCAAATACTTAGTATTGAGTCTAGAACACTTCATTGATTGTGGAAAGCCCTTAAAAATCACCAAACATCATGTGTTTTCGGCCAACCATTTGGACCGAAAACCTCTTTGGACCGAAAACCATATGGACCGAAAACCACTTGGACCGAAAACTCCCTTAAGTGGCTTTACAACCCTCTTATGCAATCCTAAGTGATTATAACACTACCAGTTAAGGATTTCTTAGTCCTTAAGGTGTTATTCTTTACCTGATTAGTTGAGTAAACACTATATTCATGTCAATATGTGTCCTTATATGTCATTTAGGACTTATTGTGTCTCGGGACTTCATTCGTGGAACTTCTCATCCTTACACACATACCCGTTTGAATCACCCACATCAGGTGAGTTCATACCCCGTAATGAATCTTTTAACTGTTTTAACTGTTTTAAGGGGGGAATACAAGTTGAACACAATGATAATTGTGTAAATGTTTGTTATAAACATCTTTCAAGATGTTACTTATGTCATTTATAAGTTGTCAAAACATTTCAAAAACTCTTTTAAAGTTATGTTACTTTACAGTTATACAAAACTCCGTTATTAAAGTGCAAACATAACTTAGTAGATAAACGAGTCTTTTCACTAACAGTCCAAGTAGAACATTAGTAAACTATAATAGGTATAGTTTAGGAGAATGCTATTCATTACTTCTAGTACAATGAAGCACACAATGAGTCAGTTCATACATGAGTCAAACACAGTGAAGAGAAACAAACAATACCATACAGAGAGAACACATAATTATGA